GCTGCGTGGAAACAAGTTATGATTCATGGAGTATCAAGTCACTGAATCATTTCGGACAGGGGCGGAAATGCACTTATCCCAACAAAAGTCGCATTCATCAACAAGTGCAATGCCATTAGGCATATGGCCATTTTTAAAAAATAAGAAAGAATACGTGTATATATATATAATAAAAGAAGTAGCAGCAGCATCTCTACAGCGAAGTGGGTGTATACCCCAACTAACTAGCACAAGTCTGCATCTATGTTCCCCAACCACTTAGGCGGTCGACCACGACAAGTCTGCATCTGAGACATCTGACTTCGGTTCGACCGCCTGAATTCCTGTGCCGGAAAGCTTGGCACGGCTTGTGTGGACCTCGTCGGCTTGTCGCAGTACGACCAACAGCAAGCCCATGAATTGCTTCTCAACCACAACATACCACAACAGCTCAACCACTGGTTTAGGGCCTGTTGAGGGATACTTCGCATGGTTTCACCTGACATGCACATAGCCACGGCCCACTGCCATGCCGCGCCTGAACTGTTCACCGCCCGAAGGAACCGCCAGCCTGGCGAAGGAAGGGCGGCTTCTGCGTCACGGACGAGCCGTGTCCATGTGGCAGGTGTGCGCTGTCCCGGCCTGAAAATGGTCAGAAGCCCCAGGTGTTTCTCAGGCATCTAAACACATACCACAGATCCTTCGCTTGATTGTAAAGGTGAATTCTAGAGCCTGTGAGGTTGCTACTGGTCGGAGTTCTCTACATATCATCTAAGCTAAAGTTCAACCCCCCCACCATTGGATCTTCCATGTCCATCATCCCACGGCCGTGCCCCGTTCCTTTTTCGGTGGCACCAGCCATTCAGCCCCGTGGCCGAACCCCACCATACCCACTGGCCCCACCCACTCGTGGCCCCCCCAACGAACGCGTGGCCCCCCAACAGAGCCACGCCTGATGGACGCCTCCTCCGCTCGGTAGACCTCACCTGGTCGCTGGCTCTCGGGCGTCGGACGCGGTTGAGGACGCGCGCGGCTGGGGGCGGGCGCCAGGTTTACGGGGCCCACGGAAGCTGAAGCTTCTCCGGGGAAACCTCCAGAGGTTTGGCCAATCAGTTGGGTGACTTGTGGAGATGGGAAGATGAAGGTCTAGGTTGAACATCTCCAGTGAACTGATGGATTTGGATGTAACTGTATATGAGTGTGCGTGACGGACACCCGGAAAAAAGATGTGCTATCATCTCCAACAGAACTACTCAGCCCATCAGTTGGGGTTGGGAAAAAAAAGAACTCAACTCTTGGACACTATCTCAATCATTGTGTGTCCCGTGCAGAGTTCGAGTGTCACGTGCAGACAAATTGCAACTTTGGCAGGCAGAAGTTTTTGCTACGCATGTAGCCTGGCAGAGCTACTCATCAATCAAGCCTGCCCTGACAACCGCCACGGCTTAAATCTACTGTTATGCGCTGCTATGCACATTCTTTTGGAATTTTGAGGAATTTGGTGCTGCGCCAGTTAATCAACCGGAAGCGGGACCAAGCAGGAGCAAACAGCAGCAAACGCAAGGAGCAAACGCAAGGAGCAAGCAAGCAGTGATTCTTGCTGCAAGAACCTGACAGCCGAAAGCAAACGGTAAGAACCCAACCGTTTGTTTAAGCAGCCGAGTCAAAACGACCTCATGACACCGGCCGCACTTGTGCCTCAAAAGCTCGCTTTTCAGCGGCTTCCATTGGCTTGCAGAGATCATTCGTCACCAGCAAGCGGCTACATGTCGCAAAACGACGCCAACGAGGCTGATGCGTCGTTGAGCCTTCGTTCTGAGTCAGCGCCGCCCTGTCCGTTGGCGCCCTGTGTCCTGTCCGCCGGTGGTCGCTGGCCTCGGGTCAGCTCCCGGCTCGGCGCCAACCAGGTGACATCCGTCTCCGGCAGCCGTGTCACTTCGAGGTCCACGGGGGTCCTCCGGTCCGGGAGCTGGCTCCGACGTGGAGGCGAATGCGAGGGGGGGGGCTCGGGAGAAAGGTGGGCTGTGAACCATGGGAAGGAAGCCAGCCACCTGTGGGGAATGCGGTGGAACTCGTTTGGATTCAAAATGTGTGGGGAGGGACGGTCTGGAGATCGGGAAACACCGAAACCAGGGACCTCTAGTACTTACGTCTGACGTCGATGGTCCAAAGTGTCTTGAAGCACTTTTAAGGAAGAACCGAGTGAACCAGGACCTAGGTCAATTGAAACCAGGACCTAGGTCAATTGAAACCAGGACCTAGGTCAAGTGGGACAATGTCCCATAGACACGACGAGCGAGATTCACAAAGACACAGGCGGGCTGTCGAAGCCCGTCTCCTCTCTGCCACACGGCTCTGCAATGGGGGCCCTGAGGCATTCATGGAAGCTCAGGGAGCGCGAGCCCGTAAAAGAAATTGGCTGCTTGCAATGGTTTGGTCAGCTAAAGGCGAAGGAGCCAAACCGCCTGTGCCTGTGTAGCTTGAAGGAGCTTGTCGCTTTTGAAGCCATTGCCTCCAAAAAGGTGCATAAGGCTTTGATGTGTCAATTGTTGGGACACCCTCCACCGAAAAAGAAAACACAAAACTCCTGGCCTTAAGAAGCTCTGGTCGTTTGCACCATCATTTTGTACCTGCACCACGTGGCTCACGAGGCCATCGCCCAGGCCATCGACGAAAACAGGCCGCTTTTCGAAACCGCCCTCGGGAGGCCAATCCCCCCACCTCGTTGACTTGCCTGCCATTGGGGAGCTCCGGCCTGAGTTGTTTCGAGGTGCGCAAAGAAAGTGTGTGTCTACTGAATTCCTGACATAGGACAGTGACAAGGCAGTCCACTTGCTGAAAGGAACTTGGAAAAATAATGTTCCTTACGTGGGTGGCTACTGCATATTGGTTTGGGGTAGATGTTTGATACTATGCCATCTCTGCTTTCTGTAGATGTTTAATACTGCTTTCTGCAATCTCTCTGTTTGATCCTCGCCTGAAATGGTTCAATTCCTGGCTTTGCTGGTGCTCCTCAGTGAGAGCGAATGCGGCTCTGGCTGACCGCAGGGTTTGGGGTTGGAAGCTCGGAAAAGCATTTCGGTTCCATCGTAAATGGGTTGAGACCTGCACGGACATGCTAGCACCCGGCTTCAGTCGCATCGGGCCAGTAAAAGTCACATCATCCACATGGTCCGGCGTCAAAAAGAAAAGTCACATGTGTAGGAAGTCACATCAGGAGCAAATGGCACAGCGTGCTTCAGCAGCATCACAATCACCATCGCACCATCAATGTCAGCGAAGCAATGGGCGCGCCGTGATGAAATCGCCACCGCGAGTCAAGACGACGACTTGTTTTCAAACCGAACGTCAACCCGTGCTGCAACAAATGCATTTGGTATCTATAGTCATCTATAGTCTATAAATAGTTAATTAGACAGGTGTCCACTCATCGTTTTTCCCTTCTGCCAAAGGTTCCCTCAACCACTTCAGCAGGTGTCCACCGCCATCCGCAAGCAGCTGCCCTCCACGTCCCTGACGGCGACGGTCCCATCAAGCCCCTCACGGGTCACCGCGGGTGAGGACCGGAAAGGGAATACGTCGCGTTCACCACGTCGCGTTTGGTGGTAGGTGATCATCATGTTTTTTCATTTAAGACTATATATTCAAAATCACCTTTAAAGAACATCTGAAAAAAAAAAAGAAAAAAAACTGAACAACCTCAAGCCCTAAGCCGAAATCGGGGCCGCGTTGGGCGTTGGGCTCCTCTTCAGCCGTTGAGCCTGGCTTTGCAGCCTGGCGCATAAGCATCCTTGAAAGAGTGGAAGGTCTATCGGCTTGTCCAAGTGATGTGACTTTCGATTCGTTTCAACGTTGATCCAAGATGCGGGACTCGTTTCAAGGCCTTGGATCCAAAAACAAAGGCCTTAGATAGACACTGCAAAACCAGGTGATAGGCCTTATATAATCACTCTGCAAACCGCCCCGCACTCAGCCCCGTGTTGCTTCCTCAACACTCAAAGAGCCTGCTCCTGCACAGCCCGCACTTCAGGCATCAGTGGTGCCTGAACCCAGGCATCAAGGGTGCTTGATGCACAACATGTTGAGCATTTTGTCCATGACCAAGCAACACTCAGCCTGCTCCGCAACTTGCATTTCAGGCTTTAAGGGTGATTGAACCTGGTCGGTGCACAACCTGTTGAGCATTTCGCTTCTTTTCCCAAAGAACACTCAGCCTGCTCCACGACTTGCACGTCACGCTTTAAGGGTGATTGAACCTGGTCGGAGAGTGCTTGATGCACAACCCATTGAGCAGTTTGCTTCTTCTCTCAAAGAACACTCAGCCTGCTCTACAACTTGCACTTCAGGTTTCAGAGGTGATTGAACCTGATCGGAGAGCTCTTGATGCACAACCTGTTGAGCATTTTGCTTCTTTTC